AAAAAAGTTTTATAATAAAATAGTTCTTTATTTAAAAAGAAAAATTCTTTTTGAGTAATATATCCTAACGTTTCGGAAAAAAAAAAAAGAAAAATTCTTTAATAACATGATGGGAATAAATTCGACGGCATACAAATACCATAAAAATATAACTAGTGGGAAGCAAAATTTATTGGGAAAGTAAGGCAATTTTGATCCATTAACTTTGTTTGCTTTTCATTTTTGTCCGCTATCAATCATTTTAAGAATATAATTTGGTATGACTTTTATTTTGTACCTATCTATCATTATATAAAAAGAATAACATTTTGATAAATTTAAAAACTTTTTCCCGTCAAAATCATTAAATATATCCTATATATAGTAATTGTTGGACAAATCTAAATAGGCAAAAAAATCGGCTCATTATTTGTGTAAAGATTTATTTCTCTTTTTTCCTGTTTTTTAGTTTATCAAAACCGTTGTTTTGACAATAAATATTTATTTTTCTTTTTCCTATTTTTAGTATAAATCTACATGAGCTTATCTCTTATGTTACAAAATCCCATTGCATACGTCTCACGTGTTTAAAAAATTTTATCCCTTATCTATACAGATTTGAAAAAATAAAATGAAATAGAAACCAATTCATAATTACTACTAGAAATCCATTATCTTTAACAAGAAAAAATAAAATAAAATAGAAACCAATTCATAATTACTAATAGAAATCCATTATCTACTTTAAGAAGCTAATTTTGATAGGTCTAATTACTAATATTTTTACAAATAATATAAGCTAACCATACAAAAAAGTATAATAATAATTTTGAAATGGTGTGTAATCAAATTTTTTTATATTCTCATATACAAAATAATTTGACATTATTTGACCCCGAATCTTTAATTTATAATTATCAAGTATTGTTTATCCTCCTCTTTAATTTATAATTATTTTTTTTCTTCCTCTTTTTAAATATGAGGTCTCGCCGTGACCTTCTCTTGAATTCTCAAAACTTCTGATCAATAGTAGTTTCCACTTCCGCCATTGAGTGACTCAAACTCGAAGTATATTTATAATATTATTAATTTAATATTGTTATCGTCCATCGCACGGGTACACACGATTAAAAAAATGGGCCACATAAATCTTAGATCGAAATTTCATTAATTACGAACATAAAACATGAAAGAAATTGAATGGTTTTGAATGTAGAGATAATACAAACAAAATGAGAGATTATTTACTAAGTTTGGATAAGGGGTTGGCGGGAATTGGTATTCCAAGTTGACATTGGCAAATTTGCATTGGTTGCAAGCTAGAATTTCAATACTAGATTCTTAGTTATCTAGTATGATCTAATTTTATCCAAGGATAACGTTTAATACATTAGGATTAACCTTTGTAGAAATGCAAATTTGAAAAGATATAATTGTCAAAATCCAATAGAATGCCGTTCAACAGAACCACCTCAAATTTGAGTTTTTTCTGAATTTTTTGATAGCGATTTACCATCAATAAAAAAAAATTGTATGACGAAGCCATAAAGACCGTTGTATACCGATTGAGAGTTTCGATCTGATATATGCATAAAATGACGATATTGACACTATAATAGAAGTTATTGTACAACACTAAAACTGTCCAAAATAATTATGTGATAATATTGATGAAAAATAAATTTAGCCAACCCAAAAATGTTAATAACTGAAAATAAAAAACAACAAAAACTAGCGGACTATTATTTTTTTTTTTCATTTTATTGTTAANTAAAAAAAAAAAAATGATGTGTACTTTTATAAATTACTAATAATTGATTGTAAAAGAAAAAAGGAAAATATTGGTCTTCATTGCAAATTCCACTATTGAAGAGAAAAAACAGTAATGGTGGGCTTGTACGAAATGATGCATAGTATCCAGCTGTTGACAATTATGATTTGTCTAAATAATTAAAACTAGTACGTAATCCGTGCGATGCACGAGATGTAAAATTTAGAAGAATAATATAACATCACGTGCATTAGGACTGAAATTGAAATCATTAAAATACATAAGAACATTGTTGAATCATAAAAAGTTCGGTAACAATCATATATTATTAAAAACCTCCTTGTACACAACATTATGAGTTTGATTATTTGGTAACTCCTCATTATCACAAACGAATATTTTCAAAAGAGACAAATCCTAAAAATCAAACTAATATTTGTGGTGAATAAACTAATATTTTAGGATTGGTTATATGAATAAAGCTACCTGTTTTTTGTGTTCTTTTCATTCATTTTCATTCAAACAATCTGATGACTTGTATAATGAAATCCGAATCTTAAGCCGAAATATTTAAAAAAAGAGTTTTTAAAAATTGAAAAGTCAAGGCAATCAGTTCAGATTAATTAAAGGTCAAAGAATATCCGGTCCTTGAAATAAAGACGTGTGCTATCATTAACCAAATATCCGGTTATTGATATAGAGTGGTTACCAAAAAATAGAACGCGATAAGGACGCTTCATAGAAATATCAATGGGATAAGGTCATAATAGATTGATATACATTTTTAACAATAAAAGGTCAGATGGAATGATTTATGATAATTATGTTGTAATTAATGAATTAATTAGATGTGTGAAAATGACATAATTAATGAGAAGTGTGAAAATGACATAATTAATGAGAGTGTGAAAAGGACATAATTAATGAGAAGTGTGAAAAGAACATAAAATGAGAAGTGTGAAAAAGACATAATTAATGAGAAGTGTGAAAAGGACAAAAACTTACCAGTTTTGGAAAATACTTATTGCAAATCTGACATTGACCATAATTTGACCTACTATTTTGGATAAATGTTAATTCTTATTATATAAGTATAGATGTACAAATTAGTCTAGGTAATGCCAAATTGAGTTGACTAGACACATAAGCGACTACTAATACAGAATTACATGAGGCAGAATAAAAACTAAGTATAACATAGTTGATGAAACATATTGAGACAAAATTGTGTAATAATATAGTATCTGTTCAGAGAGGTTTTTAATAAGTTGATTTTTGACAAAGAGGGTAGGTAGAGCAAGTGTGAAGTGACTTAATATTATCTTGGAAGGATAAGGATATTAACATTAACAGTCAAAGTGAGTTACCTAAATTTTCCCAGGCTTTTGATTGGATAGTTAGCCAATCAATTTGATTGGACTAAATCGCCTGAAAATCAACATCATCCCTACTGTCTATTGATAATTATTTAATTATGGAATTTATTGATAATCATTTAACTATTTCCGTAAGGTTAATCCTCAGTTTTACATATCTGTACGTAGCATACACATCATGTCGTCACATATATCCTTACATCAAAGTCCTATTNCTAAAGGGTGTAAAAGCTGTTTGGTTCGTCCTTAATCAGTTGTTTTCATGTCCATATCGAGTTAATTATATTTGATAGGTTGTTTACATGTCTATATCGAATTAGCAATATCGAGTTTTACGTGTATTGAAATCGCACATCATTAACATAAGGTTTCTAACCTCTTTTTAATAAAAACCGACTTGTTAGCAAATCACATCAATGTAGACGTGGTCACTTTTCGGTTTTGGGCTCAAAGTTTTTTGTGAACCTCAACTAGCCCGATAATATATACGGGCCGGTTCAATCAACCGACAGTTCACAGTTCAGACACGGCCCGCCGGTTCAGGACTGAACCATTCCTATAAGTTATTTTATTTTATTTTTTTTTTTAATAAAGAAGAGCCGGGGGATGGGGTTTAAAAAAATAGACTTGGGCGTAGTTGACATATTATAAGTTAAAATATCAATTAAATTGAAGAATGAGTTAAAATTCATGATACTTTTAACTTATAATATTTCAATAATTAAGTTGGCAGTGTAACTCTTACCTTGAGAATCAAAGTCCTCGCAGTTCTATTAATTTTCCTTACCTTTATGAATGAAGATGACAAGATCCGATGAACGCTCTAGTAATCGTAGGTCTTATAGTCATCTTCGATTCCGGCAGTTCCACTAGTACTAGTAAACTCAGATGTCTCTTCTTTGTCATTATTTTCGGTAATTAGCATGGCCGTTTGTATCCTTCGTTCGGTCTTATTCCAATCACTCGATCAGCAACATAAGAGTCTTCAAGTTTTGTAGCGCCAACCTCGACCGTCGTGCGCCAAATGTATATATTGATCACTAACTAAATTTTTGTTTAACCACCACTAGTGAGGCCATAGGACAACGAAAATCCCCTTGACCATCAAGCATGAAGCAGGATAAATGGTACTTATTTTTTACCACCAATCTAAGATATCGGATTTGAGTGGCGCAACTAGTGGTCTGACAATCATAAGTGTGTCAGATTTGAGGTGAGGTAATGATCGAGCTCATGGTATACAATTTTTTAGTCTTTTGGATCTTAGCATTCTTGTAGGGATTATAATTTGACCACCAGTCACCAAAGTTAGGGGCTTGCAGCGTCATTTGTGGATAATGTCGTAAGAAAAAGACTCAAAGTATGTCGTAAGAAAAAGACTCAAAGTATGAGCATAAAATGACGCCAATTTTTTTTCTGAGTTTGATTGTTTTTTCCCTGAACAATTCATACAATAAAACTTTTGTTTGCTCGACGACCAGTCGTGAGTTAGGTCTCTCAGTGATAAACTACATCAGAAGGAAGTGAGAGTTGACACATTATATCATAATATGTGTGGAGTTAGTGGAGCAAGCAAATTTCACGTAGTAACGGGTCTAACGAACATAAAACTAAAAATGTATCATGAATGAAAAAATAGTATATAATCATTTTCTTAACATATTTCTTACAAGTTCGCCGTGTTTGTCAGGATCACTAGCAAAAAAATCTCTAACGCCACATTACACATAACACATTGAGATAGAACAAGTTGAGCAATATGATGGTAAATACCAGAAAATACATTAGTAGTAGTTTGAAATATTCCTAAAAATTCTATAAGTGTTTTACATTTTTTCCAATCATCAATGCTAATAACGACATTACAATCACGGCGTCCATGACTCATAAAAAAGTTTCGAATTGACCAGCGAATTCACACGTTTTTCCGATGCCCGACCTTAGCGAGCTCCTACTTCAGGTCGAACTCGTTCTACAGGAGCTGCTGGTTCTCCTCATGTAGTGCTTTGATCTTGGCCTGGAGGTGACGCAACAAAAGCGTACGAAAGGGGAAAGAAGAGATCAAACTCTCAAGCAAATATTTTTTATTTCATAAACAGTCGACCCTTTAATACAAGAGAAGATGTCTCTTAAATAGAACCCCAAAAGCCTTAACTAAATAATTTTCCCAGCAAGACGAGTTCTAATAAAGTAAAAAATAAATAAGTTTTTAACAAATCTAGAATGCCACTAATATTAATCAAAATAAAGAAAATAAATAATTAATTAAATTAAATATCTTCATTCTCCATCATTCTCCCCCCTTCAAAAAGGATTTGCCCTCGAATCCGACACAATCTAACCGTCGACGGTGACATCTTGGAGGCAGTGGCCGGAGGCTGAAAGAACTTCGCGGCGAGGGTCGGCAGTTGCAACATCAAGCCTCGAGATTGTATTTAAATGGGTGTTTGAAGGTAATTGTATTCCAATTTCCACATCATCAACTAAACTGTGACCAATTGGACAAATTGAAATCCATAACATTTTTATTATTTTGCCCACCTAAGTGAACATGTGNAAATATCAAATTTCATTACCACACCTCGGAATTACAAACTGGTAATCAACAGATTACACTTGATATCTCTTACTAGCCTAAACTAGAAAGAGAACCAAACGGGAGAAAGCACAATATATGTTCCCCTATACGACCACATTGGTCGAAACAGCCAAAACCAACCTAAAACACCCACACTTAAGATACTATAAAACCCCACAAGTGAGACAAACTCCTCCATGGAGGGAGACGACAAAAAACGTGCTCCAAAAAGAGAGAAAATAAACAAAAGACATTACCACACTAACAATCACACAAAACAAAATAAAACACTTCTAAATAAAACACTCTCCACCAACAACCATGAGCCATTAGGCCTAGAGCCTTCAAGCAAACCAACACCTAAGATGACCAGTAGCACTACTGTGTACCCTGGCACACCTTGCTAGGTGTACCAGGGCAGAAATTCACGCACGGGCCAAGGATAACAAAAGTGGAATCCAAAAATATTTGCTATCCTGAAGTACACACGCCTATTTAAACTCTCAATTTATTAAGTTATTCATCTTATAACATAACATCTTCATCTTATAATTTAACATGTTCATTTTACAATGAAACATATTCATCATGTTAAGAATATGACGTACAAAATCAACTTATTCATCTTGTACAAAATCAACATATTCATCGTGTTAATAAACATGTTCATCTGAGAAAAAAAACATGTTCATCTTATAATTTAACATATTCAGCTGATAATAAAACATATTCATCTTATAACATAACATGTTCATATTATAAGTTGACATGTTCATTTTACAAAAAAAACATATTCATCATGTTAAGAAACATATGTACGTACAAAATCAACATATACTTCTTGTACAAAATTGACATATTCATCGCGTTATTAAACATGTTCAACTGAGATGGAAGCGGGAGAAAGAAATTTTTCTGCCTTGAATATCGCCTAGATTTCTTTTACATGTACATTCACGTGCCTATTTAAGAAGTGCGTTTCACCTAACGCCTTAGAACACCTAGCAAGGTGTTAGCGTAAAATAGACTACCCAAACAGGATCCAAATCCAGCTCCAAACCAAGAAACGAACATGTGTGTTTAATTCAGGCAAAATTAGCAATTGTCTATTAAATTGTCCCGAAATTATACAAATCTAAAAATTATTGGAGTAATTTTCATTAAGTAAATTAAATGACTAATTTTAAAGTATAGGATGTCGTGCCGGACGGTGGACCACGAAGTCACCAGAGCTCGATTTTTCTCTAAGATTTTCCGGCTTATTCCCTCGTAGCGCATAACTGAACTGCTTCACCATTAGCCTCCTCTAATAAATTCGGTCGAAAGCCCTCCCTCTGTTTCTCACTGCAAACGCCGGCTATTTACCCAACCGCTTTTATCGTAAATTGCCGCCGTTTTTTTAGTAAATGCCGGTCGATTGTATCTACCCTTGGAGAAATTGCAGTGTGCGTCTAATTCCTCACGTCCTGGCGCATCTTTTGAATGCTCACTCGTTGGATTTCTCATTCACAGTATAACTTTTCTTCACTTACTGTGTTGTTTAGTGCCGAGGGTTCATTGTTACCATGAGGAAATTGCATAATTTCCTCTAGAATTGATGAGAAAACATTTAAATTCCTGTTGTTTTGATGGGATTGGATTTATCTAGAATTTGGGGTGTTTTACATTGTGGTGTTGATGCATAACAAGGAATGACTCTCTTGCCCTAGGTTGTCCATATTTCAGAAAAACATCTTACATTCATTGTATTTGGGACTTATTTTTCTCTTCCTTCCGATGACTGAAAAGGACGAATTGATATTGAATGAAGCTATCTCTCTATAATTATTTGTTTTTTGAGATCAATCTTTACACTCATTTCTAACCTAGTTTGGTTTTGGTCTTAGCTTGCACTCAGGCATCAGGTTTGGTTACAAGTTGTTCGTACATTGGCTTAAGAATTATATTCGACTATTTGACATCTATCATTCGCAATACGGCTTTATATTGCTTATGTGAATGTAGTTCTAATTCTATAACCCTTTGCAACTGCTATCTATCAGGTATGACTCTGCTTTTTTAGTTTAATTGACTTGTGTAGACTTTGTAAGGCTCTACTTGAAGATGTCTTATTTTTTATACCAAGATCTTTTTGCATGGGATTTTTATTTTGTTATCATTTTAAACGTAGCAGTATCAGGATTGATCTTTTGATGATTGATAAAGCCATTCTATGGGACCGAGCTTGTATCATTTGCGCACATGTGTTGATCTTGCAATTGTGCAAATGCCAATATTTCCTGAAGGATATATGATGCTGTCTTCTGGTCAGACTAATTATATAAGGTGCAATCCTCAATCTCAGTTGTGTTCTGAGAAGCTTTCACAATTTCTTTTCTGGAAAGTGTAAATTGTGTAAAGCTTTTTTTCCCCTATGTTATCGAACTTTAAGATCAAGCTTCTGGAAACTTGTCTCAAGATACTTCAACCTTGCGACAAATATCATATACTCGCTATTGAAAGACTGGTAATATTCTTGAGATTTCGAAGAACCTGGCACTATTCTACTGTACTGAATTGAAAATGTATGACAAAGTTCAAAACTGGTTATGGCTTTGTTAAAACTCACAAGTAGTCCAAGATCAAGATTTTGTTCTTACATGTTTGTTGGTTAAATATTATTCTCCATACTAGTTAAATAATATTCTCCAAGTTTGGACAATTTATTTTATTATTAAAGAAGTATTTAGTTCAATAAAGAATAGAGAGAGCACGAAAGAAGCATTCTCAACATTCTCTAAATCTATTCACATAAAACCGACATGTGTATTCATTCAAGTTCACAATATACATCCCAGTTATTATTAAAAACATTCTTAAAGAATAAAACAAACAATTCTATACACATGTTTAAGTAACACACACACACACACACATACATACATACACACTTATTGGTTTTAAACTGGGAAGTGATTTTAAATCCTCCATCATGCAATGGAGCACTCAATCGGGAACCCTTGCGGATAACGCTTAGTGTCCGTGCAGTAGTTGTAAGTCATGTAATTTTTTTGCACCCATTTTATCCTCTGCTGACCACTGAAATCCAGTGACTGTGAGAACCAAGAATTGGCCGACGAATTTTGTGAGCAAGAACTGGTGGCACCTGAACAGGCCAATGCATTAAAATTTGTGTATGAGGCCGTGAAAGGGGCCTGGCTCCAATCAGTCTTCACGAGCCCACCTCTCGTGGCCCAATCGTCCGCGTTCCAAAGGCTAGAGTATACCCACATGGGCTGGCTCTTTGGGTAAGGTACGCCTTTCGACTCAAGGTTCTTGAATTGTCTGATGGGAGTACCGTCTACTGAGAATCTGTTGATGATATCGAAACAAATTAGTATTGGTAAGTGGTTTTAGTGAAAATATTAAAGATTATAATTGCATTTTTAGTCCTGCCCGTTTAGTGCCATAGCAATTTTAATCCAAGGTTCCAACATTTTTCTTTCTGGTCCTGGGACTGAAATTGCAACGAATTCCCAAATTTCTAGATTTTCAATTAGCAATTTAAAAATTTTGTTGCGATTTCAGTTCTTTAATTTAAATTTTTGTTGCAATTCAGTCATTTGAGGATTGAAATTGCAGCAAAATATTAAATCGGAGGACCAAAAGACGAAAAGTTAGAATCTTAGGACTAAAATTGTTACGATGTTAAACCAACAGAACTAAAAATTCATTTTTGCCTACTAAATATCACCCTGTAATTTTTATGCTAATTACCAAAGTCCCCTGTTATGTTCCAAATACAGGGGTAGCTTTGGTAATTCATCTTAATCACTTACATGATGCTCTGAGGGTTCCATAAGATGGAGTATGTGTGAAAATCCTTTGTTGGATCAAACCACAAACGAAACTGTTGTTCTCGACCGCCTTTTCCCTGTGCGAATACATTTGTGTGGAGTGTGTACGGTTGCCCGCTTAGATTCCCGAGAAACTCAAAGTCGATCTCATCGTGATTCGGTCCCAACGAAGATAACTGAAAGCAAAAGAGGTAAATTAAAAATTATTTTTCCGCAAATAGAAAGAAGAGCACATATTATTTCATGGCAGCTTACATAATAGGTAGTAACTGTGCCAGCAGAATTTCCAGGGACGAGCTTTATCTGCAGGTCGATTTTCCCGAACATATACTGCTTCTTTGATCTAAAACCCGAACCAGAGGTCTTGTCTAAGGACAGCGTGAGAAGCTTCCCGTTGTTTAATATTTTTGCACGTCCGTCTCCCCAGGTTATGTCGAAATCTTGGTTAAAATTGCTGCCAGTAGCAGTGGCAGCAAAGCTTATTAGTGCTAAGAGCACAATATATTTCTTCATCTTATGTGATGATTGATGGTTTGATAAATATCTCTTTCTCTACTATGTTTTTTGTGTGTGGGGGAAATTTAGAGCTGAATTGATGGCTTTAAGAGTTTGTGGTGTGCATGAATTGGATGGAAGGGCCTTTATATATAATGCAGCGGAAGGAAAAAGATGCGTACGTGTGGCAAGTGAATAAGAGGGGAAGGTGATATTTGTGTTGACTTTGGGGGACCATTTGACAGCTAATAATGCAAATTAAGATGATGTGGGAGTTTCCAAGTTTTTTTTTTTTTT